TCACCTCAGTGAGGTGGCTATTCTTTCTAAAGATGCAAACTATCTCCCCCCCCCCGCCCCCCGGCCAACACACACACTTACTCACCCTGTCTTTCCCTGCTTTATTCTTCTCACTAGCACTAATCACTTTCCGACATACTCAACATTTACCTTTTCTACACTGTTATACAGGGATTTTCTGTTTTGTCCTGGAACATGGCTGACACATAGTAGACATTCAAAAAGTATTTGTTTAATGAACGAAAAGGAACCCCAGGGGTTCCTTCTCTGCGCATCCTGTGGGGTTTCCTGAGGTAGTCAAGGAAAGGAGTGAAGGGCAAGGAGAGATGGATGTTTGGCAACTCCCCTTAGGGCCAGAGGTTAAGCCACTGAGTTGGAGAATAGTGGAGGCAGGAGTCTCACAATATTGTCCCTTCTATCACTTGTTTTCTGTTATTTCTGTATAGTCTCTTCCCACTCTGCCTCTTGCTGTTCCCTGGCCATGGGCAAGGCAGAGCAATGGAGCTGTGAGCATGTTCTCTCTCCTCCAAGATGGGTGGATAGATGGGTGCTGGCTAACCTCCCCTCCTGCTGGTTGCTTTAATAGGCTTGGAGCTGGCTCACTGCCCAGGCCTCTGGGCTCCCCGAGACTGGGCCCCAGTGGAGGATGTTCAGGACACTGAAAGACCCCAAAAGAGGGTTCGAACTCTGTTTAACTTGGAGCAGCTGGAAGAGTTGGAGAAAGTGTTTGCAAAACAGCACAATCTGGTAGGGAAGAACAGAGCCCAGCTGGCAGCCCGGCTCAACCTTACGGAGAACCAGGTATGAACAGTGGCCCAGGCTGCACCCGGGGGACGGACACTACTCCCCGATGGCCCTGGGTGGTAGCTGGGAGGAAGACATGGGGATTTCTTCCTCTGTGCCAGCATATTAGGGGGAGACAGGCCTAATTATTGGCATACTCTCTGTATGAATGAGAAAAATAGTCCCATTTAAAATTACATTAAGGGGACAATACACGATATGAATCTAAAACTTTATATTTCTATGCTAAATGAGATGTTTGTGAAATTAAGTATTTAAGGAGCTAAATAATAAACATTCCCTCTGTCCCCATATTCCCTTCCAGCTACTGCACCATTTCTCTGCTCTTTTCACAGATAAACTCAAGAACTGGCTATGTTCTCTGTCTCCCTGTCCTCACTTCCCATCTACTCCTTAACTCATTTCAATATGAATTCTTTCCCTACCATTTCTTCGAAACCTCTCATCAAGGTCTCAAATGACCTCCACGTTGCCAAAGTCAACAGATGCTTTCCTTGCTTATTTATTCCAACAGTCAGTACAGTTGACCGCACCTTTTCTTATTGAAACACACTCTTCTCTTGACTTCCAGACACCACACTCTCTCGATTTTCCTCTCAGCTCTCTGCCCACTTCTTCTGTTGCCTTTGTAGGCTATTTTTCTCTTTGTGACTTCAAATTTTTCTCCCAGCTGATCTCCCTGCTTTTAAATACCACCTATTGGGTTGTTGGAAAAGTCATGATGCATTTTTGCAACGAAGAACATAGAAAAAATACGTCATGACTTTTCTGACAACCCAGTATAAGTCAATGACTCCCAAATTTGTATCTTAGCCTCCCCCCTCCCCCTTTTCTGACTTGTACATCTAACTACCTTCCTGAGGTCTCCACTTGGATGTCTTATGGGTAGGAATTTCAAACAAACGTAAACCTCAGTTCTTGACTTTTTTCTCTCCAAATCTGTTCCTTTCCCTACATGTGGCTCCACCATCCACTGAGTTTCTCAAAACACCTAGTCGTCGTCGATTTCCCCTTCTCTCCCACTTCCAATCCATCAGCAAGTTTTGTCACCTCTACCTCCAAAATACAGCTGGAATTGCTTCATTTCTCTCCATTGCCCCCAGCCCACATCCGCGCCAGCTCTTACTGGATCACTGCAAGAGCCTCCCTGAATCTGCTTTCATCCATTCTCGACACAGCGCCTTAGATGTAAATAGGACTATGTCACAGTCCACTTAAAAGCCTTGAAGGTGACACTCCTTAGCCCTGGCCTTGAAGGTCCTGGGTGATCTGACCTCTCCCACTTTCCCTTCTCACTCTTAGGTGTGCCAGTGATGCCCTCCTCCTTTCTGGCCTTCAAACACCCCAGGCTTGGTTCTATCTCAGAGCCTTCCTACAGGTCATTCCCTGCTCGGCTGGCTTTTCTCTGTTCCCACCAGGCTGGCCTCTCATCCTTTGAGCCCCGGTTTAAGTGCTGGTTCTTCAGGGAGGCTTAAACCCCTGTTCACACCCCCATTTGTTTAGATATTTGTTTGCATGTTTGTTACTAGTTTTTCTCCACTAGGCTGAGCTCCATGAGGTCAGGGACCATGCATCTATTGCTCACTGCTGTATCACTATCACCTAGGGTAGTGACTACTACATAATAGGAGCTCAATAAATACTTGTTGGATGAATGGAGGAATAAACGGCAACTGGGAAGGATGCTTTGGAGTTGATGCTTCCCTTAGAAAGAAGAGCAAATTTTCGCCAGAGTGGAGTGGGTACTGTGGGAACAGAGGAAGCAGTTCCCACTGGTCACATTCTGATCTCTGCCCACTGCCTCCAATTATAGGTGAGGGTCTGGTTCCAAAACCGCAGGGTTAAGTATCAGAAGCAGCAAAGGCTGAAACCACCTGCCACGTCTGCCATGGCTGCCTCCCTGGACGAGCCCTCCAGCAGCTCTGACACTGGCATCCAGAGAGAAGACGCCAAATCAGGAGTGGACAGCTGAGGAGTGGGACAGAGGCTCAACCCAGGCTATCTGGGCTAACTCTTCCTGGGGCCACCCACTGGACCTCCCTGCCTCACATTTTAACACAGAGCCTCATTAGGGTCAAAGGGCACCAGAGGAATCTGAACTGTTGAGAACTTTTCTGTACTGACTCCTGGGAGCTGCAATAGTATAATGGTCAGGGGCACAGACTTTGGTCTTCAGCTATGTCCTTGGCCATATTATTGAGCTTCTGAGCCTTCTTTCTTCACCTATATGATGGATGTGTTGATAACTTAGACTTCCCAGGGCTCAGATGATGTCTGTAAAGCACTTACAGTGTACCTGGCCCAGTGCTAAGTGTGCAACAACTGTTAAGGCTTATAGGCCCCCTTCACCTGGACGAGTGGTACCTACACCAGCTCTGACTTCTCCCGGGATTAATCTTTTCCTGGCCTGGCTGTGGAAGAGGGGGCCTTCTTCAATCAATGTCTGGGCATAGAAGACTCTTCTCCATCAGAGATGGTGGAACTTACAAAAAAGAGGAGGAAAAGTAGACCCTTTAGCCCATTTCCCCTCACAGAGTTCCCCAACATTTTCTTGTTTTGTCTGAACTGTTACCACTCTCAGAAGCTCAGGCCCAGCTGTCTCCTTGGAGCAGACATGCTACCCTGACCACCATCACTTTCCCTTTAGCTACTTGTCTTGACCCCCCCACGCCACACACTCCATTTTTATACAGAATAGAGAAGTTTGACTCTGCCTTTGCCAAGTCTGGCATTTTAGCATAAACTCTGCTGTACTTTCAATGAGACAGTTATTATTTCCCCTACTTCACAACTCTGATTCATGGTTCCATTTCCTTCCCAGGAATCTGGTCAGTTTATCTCTAAGAAGCCTAGCTGATAGCTTCCCCGTGAAGATGGCCACCAGTATTTCCAGAACTGATTTCTCTAGCGCTCCACATTCCTGGGTGGGCCTCTGTTGAGGGTATTTCTTTAGAATCTAGAATGGCTTCTGGGTGCTGAGGCCTGCCCTGGTGGAAGGAGACCTGCTCTGCCACCTGGCGGTGAGAAAGGGCACGGTCCCCAATGCGCTAGAGTTTTCTGAGAGAGAAAAGGCAGGGAGAAAAGTTGATCCTGGAAAACCACCTGCCCCCAAGGCTGTGGACCATCCTCTCCTGGACAACAGGCCGGCCGCAGACTTGAGGGAGGCCAGAACTCAGCTCCAAAAACCCTTCCCTGTCCCTATCTTCAGGGAAATCCTTTCTAATGCTGGATCCAAAGTCAATTCTATTAATCAAAGGAACCCAGCTGAATCTCATTTGCCTCTTCCAAGAACAATTGGCTCACTTTTTTCTTTTTAAATCAAGTCAGTTACCTATTCAGCAATTACTGGGCTCCACCCAAGCCCCAACTGTCACCATGAGACCCTAGCAGAAGCAGACACAGGTCCCTTTTCAAGGGCACAGAATCAACTGGAGGACAAAGAAACAAGACATGGTGGTTAGGCCTGGCTGTGGGAACAGATGCTATATAGGTCAGTGGTTTCTCTCATTCAGGTTCGGGGTCCTAAATGAGAGAACAGCCCTTCTGTTGTCAGGACAGTGTTCATATGCACCCTCAGTTCTGCATACAATTTCGGGAGACCTCAGACCTGAGGTCCACCACGGGCCCCTCCTCCATACCATCCCCCAACCAGGCTGCAAAGTCCCTAAGCCGCTGAAGAGTCTGAGACAGGCACAAGTCCATTCATAGGACTGTCTGTTCTGCTGTCAGAGGGCCCACGGAGAAGGGAAATCTTGAGCCAGACTTTGTGGGGTAAGCTAGTCATTCCCTTTAGGTTGAGGGTCAGAGAGAATAGGAGTAACTGGGCCAGCTGCTGTCCTACCCCTGGGCTGGGTCCAAAGACCGCCTATGCAAGGCAGGCACTGAATCGACAGAGACAACAGACAGACACACAAACATGAACTTGGACATAGATGCACACATCAAAACTATACACGCACAGTGGCTCTAATACAGAGGTACACCCTGGCCAAGAAGACGCAGACAGACGCAAAACTGTACAGATGTAAAAGCACAAAGGCAGGCCCAGCTCCACCCAGTCAACAAACCAGTGGACCTAAACATACGTAGATCAAAGCGACCCAAATTCAGAACCGTGGGTTTGTCAAGACCTGAAACTTCTCGGACACTCACGCCGGGGGCGGGGCCGGGGGCGGGGCCTCTCGGGTCGGGTCGGGGTCACGGGTCAGAAGGCGGAGGCGCGCCCAAGATGGCGGCCTTCATGGGCGACGTGTTCTCCTTCTGCGTGGGCGTGGCGGGCCGGGCCCGAACCGCCGTGGAAGTCCGCTTCGTGAACAGCTCCAAGGTGAGACTCGGGCGGACCCTGCCGAGAGCCCCCACCCCGTCCGGCCTTAGATACAGCCGCACCGGACCCTATGCCTGGAGCCTAGAGGCTTCTCTGTCATTCGGACGCTGCGGCCCGGGCCTTGCTCGCGGCCGGGGAGCTCCCCGTTTGCCCCGGCACACAGGCTTCCGGGGCCGTCACGCGGTGGACCAGGACCTCCAGAGTCTCCGTGCGCATCCCTTTCTCGCGGAACCGGGGCCCGCCCTCCGGCGGCCCGAATGCGGCTGCGCCAGGAGGGGCTGGGAGGGGGCCCGGACCTCCGGGCCCAGGCTGGCGGACCCTGCTGCTGGTCCCCGGGAGCATTGGGCGGGGAGGTTCCGAACAGAGGGAACTGAGGTATAAAAAAGCGTGGGTCCTTAGAGAAGTTTCAAAGTGAGATTTGGTTGGGGGATGAGGAGAGAGGCCAAGACCCTTCACGAAGGGCCTTGGAGTGCTAAGGGATTTGAACCGGAGCCTGAAGCCCGTGGGAGCATTTGAAAGGTTTGAGCAGGAGAGTGACGTGATTTTGTCGTTTTATTATCGTTATTTTTAAAGTTTGTTGCAGAAAAGAATTGAAAATGCATGTAAAGAAAGAGGGGGTAAAAGTTCTTGTTCAAATGTGTGTATTAAAATCACATTTTTTGAAACTGCTTTGTGATGCAGCAGTAAATCCATATCAATAAACCTATTTCTATGTATTAATTTTTAAGAACTGAGTAATAGTCTGTTTCATGGGAGGGCCACAGTTCCTTCAACCAAATACTTATTTATGGGCCCTTATGTTATATTTCTTTTTCATCCCTGCGGTCAAAGATCTGGGAGTTCATTTTGTGTGCGCGCATCTTTTTGTTCTCTTAACGTTGAGTATTTTCTTTCCTAGTTATCTTTGCCAGTTGATACGTTCAAAATGGTATTGCTTTGTTCTCGTTGACATTTCTTTGTTTACTAGTGAGGTTGAATAATTTATCCTGTGGAGGAGCTGTGTGTATCCTTGTCCTTACCCAAGATATCAGTCTTTAGTCATCTGTCTCCTGCTGTCAGCATCTCCATTCGGATCCAGTTTCCCACCCTAACTTTCCATTGCCCTCTTTCCACACCAGAGGCATCTAGAGCATCCCTCTCCTTCCATTGAATATCAGTTCTCCTGCATCCTTGGCCTCCTCAGCCTTTCACATCTCCATCTCCACCCTATGTCCTCTAGTACTCGTGATGCGCTCACAGTTTGATGATGTCTCAGTTCCATCACTCTTGGCATGTAGAACTAGTCACCTTTACCTCCACTGAGCCTCCTATCTTTTGGCTCCCTCCTTTCTTCACTTCTTCCCTCTCACTTCATTCCTTCAGCCACTCTTCCTGCCTAACTGTGCTGTCCCAGCCTTCTATCAAAATCCCAGCTCTGGGGCCGGCCGAGTGGCTCAGTTGGTTAAGAGCTCGCTCAAGAGTGTGAGCTCTGAGCAACAGTTCGATTCCTGGCCGGAGCTGAGCAGCCGCTGAGCTGCCAACCGGCGGCAGGATGGCTCAGCTTAAAAAAAAATTCCAGCTCTGGAAAAATGAGCTCTTGAAGACTACACCTGATCTGCTGTTGGACAGTCACATTCCTACCCAGACTTCGTGACAAGATAGATTATTGTGGGCTTTTTGCATCTATATTCATTGAAGTGAGGTTGGTTTGTGATTTTTTTTTCCTTTGTGCTATTTTCCTCAGGTTATCACATCAGTTATGCTTTTTTTTTTTTTTTTTTTTAGTAAAATAGAGAAGCTTTACACTTTTCTTTGTTCGTGAATAGTTTAAATAGCATGAGAATTATTCTTTGGTTTGATAAAGCTGGCTCATGAAACCATATAGATTAGTGGCCGCGTGGGATAGTTGACCACTTTATTGCTTCTATAGATATTGGCAGGAATGCTTTTTAAAAATGTATCAACTATTATGCCAGCGATGTAACCAATCACAACAGAAACCTGACCAAATACAGTGGATGCCAACCAGAATGCCATACTGGTGCACAACAGCTAGAAGACAACACTGTTTAGTAGTCTGTCTAGGCTATATTACTTTTGAATTCAGTTTTGGTAATTTATATTTTTAATAAAATCAACCATTTAATAAAGATTTAAAAATTTACTACATAGTCTCAGAGTTTTGCATAATCTTCTCATAAAACTTGTTTTTCAATTGGAAATATTTTTGCATTGTTTGTGCCCTGTCCATTCAGGTTCACTTCTCTCCAAGCTTCTTGGAAACATGAATGAAGAACTATTTTTCTTGAAACACTTTCATGTTTTGGGGATGAGTGGTTTCATAGAGGAATAGCTCTGCTTCTTTTCGCTTTGTTTTGATTTCTAAATATTTTCCACGTTTGGTCATTGAGAAAGAGATTGATACTTATCTAATATTGAGATTTGAGATTGTCATGATAACGGGTGGCCCTGTTCATATCTTTTTGTCCAGTAGTGGAATGCCAAGTTTTCATTTTGCTAGATTGGATCCCAGGGGCTACAAGGTGTGGAGGTGGGGCTTCCAGGAAGACAATCAAGAGTGTGTCCATGGCTTTGCCCAGCGATTTTGTCCCATCTACTGTTAGAGCTCCCAGGGTCATTCAGAGGGTTGATGTTTGTGGCTCATGGGTTGCTGAAGGCCTTTCCTGGTCCACACTTCTCTGTTGCTCTGACTTTGGAAGGTGCCCCTGTCTAGCCAGAGCGCCAGTGCTAGAAGGAAACAGGGAGCTGCCCGGGAGGCCACATGACAGGACATTTCACTGCTGTATCAATCATTTTTCTTTCTCTCCCTTTTTGTAACAGTTCAATGTTGGCAGGGGCACCACCTCTCTTCTCTAAGTGAATAGTGGGAGTAAGTGCCTGGTGGGGCCAGTAACTTGCCTGGGCTTTGAAGCTGTATCTCGAATCCCTTTGCATAGCTGAGAGATGGCATCAGCAACTGTTTTCTCATCCTTCATTCCTTACGTGGTGTATGGTGCTTTAGACCCTGCCTCTCAAACTTTACATGCATATGAGTCACCTGGGCATCTTCTTAAGGTGTAGATTCTGATTCAGCAGGTCTGGGGTGGGGCTGAGATTCTGCATTTCTAACAGTCTCCCAGCTGATGTCCAGGCTGCCAGTCCATCCCCTCACTTTGAATAGTAAGGAGCTAGAACTCATGAGGCATGTTCACCTGTGCTATATCATTGCATCCTAGAAACTACCTGGTAGATATTATTATAATACTCACTTTTCATGTGGGAAACAGATGCAAAGAAGTGAAGCATTTGGCTCAAAGATTCACAGCAAGTTAGCATTCAGACTGGTACTAGGATTAGTCATTCCTTTCAGAGTAACCCCTGGGAAGTTGTTGGGTGCCAGGTACTGTGCTAGGTTCTGTGAGTACCCAGCCAAGCAGGGAAGTAGGGCACAAACTAAGCCTCCCTCTCCCTTGGTGTAAGATTTCTTTGCAACCCTGAGCAGTAGCAGCATCACTGCCAGGATCCTGGCGGGGCATGTGGGTGACTCAGACAAGGCTGCCCTGCTGTTACCAGCTCCTGGTACAAGAGGCCCCTGCCTGCTATGAGCCTTGGCTCTGCTCTGGGCAATCTAAAAATTCTCCTCCTCTGTGTAGTCTGAGATGGCTGACATGTTGGCTCCCTCCCCATCTCAGGTCCTCTGCCCTGAACAGGCTGAAGGAAATGTGACTGAAAGTAGGTCAGAGCTGCATTTCCAGGAGGAGACAGTTATGGGGTTGCTGACCATGCTCCGTGAACCCTCCTGAGGCAGGGGCCTCTGCTGACGGAGCACATGGGGGTGAGGCTGGGCAGCCCTCTGTCTTTTCTAATGGGCTTCCTGTTCCTTCTCTGCCCTCTTAGGGGAAGGGGCTATTTGCCACACAGCTGATCCGGAAGGGGGAGACCATCTTCGTAGAACGGCCTCTGGTGGCTGCGCAGTTTCTCTGGAATGCACTTTATCGCTACCGAGGTGAGCACATCTCACCCACTCCTCATGGCTCCTGGGCCCAGCTGCCTTTGTGCATGGAAGAGAGCTGCATACATCTCCATTCGCAGATATCTCTGGGACTCTGGTGTTGGGAGGAAATGCCCCTGGAGAACCCCCCTGAGAACCACACCTCTGTCTGATCTCAGACCATTTGGGGCTGTGAGCCTGTAGGAGAAAGGCTCTTCCGAAGTGCTTCCTGGGGGAGGACTGCCACTCAGGTGGAACTCAGAGTCTAGTATAAGGGATTGGATGTAATGCTGAAGGGCTCTGTGCCAAAGTAGAGCCCTGCCCCTTGGTCAAAAATAGGCTGTGTTAGTGTTAGGTAGGAGTCAGAAGCAAGGGAATGCCCTTAGCTTTGCCAGCCACATGGTTTTTTCCATACTTTTCTTAGGCCAGAGACAAACTGTGGAAGGAGAATCACTTCGCTCCAAAATGTGGGGAAAGCCCAGTCTGGGGGTGGGGAGGGGAGCCCTACAGACTAAGTCCCATTGAGAAAGAGGGGTGGGGACTCCCCAGAGAGGGAAGAGGGAATCATTTACCTTTGAATGCATGTGAAATTCATTCATTCATTCGTTCTTTAACATGTTCACTCATGTCCCAAATTGAGCACCTATTATTCTAGCCCTGGGGATACTGCTGTGAAAAGGACAGACATGGCCCCTGCTCTGAAGAGACTTACACTGTCATGTCTGGCTCTCTCCCACAGCCTGTGACCACTGCCTGCGGGCACTGGAGAAGGCAGAGGAGAATGCCCAGAGGCTGACTGGGAAACCTGGCCAGGTGCTGCCTCACCCTGAGCTATGCACCGTGTGCAAGGACCTCCACCAGAACTGTCCCCACTGCCAGGTGAGTGTCCTTGGGGCGTGCACCTGAAAGGGGCTGATGGGGGTGCCCTTAGCTAAAGTCCTCTTTGGGGAGGCAGGAACAAGGACAGCCCCAGTCATGGCCCTTGAGAGCTATAATGTAGGATAAGACATTGAAGGCTCAGCCACTGTGCCAGTTTCGTCCTCCCTGTTCCAGTCTCATTGTCTAGAAAATAGGCTTGGTGGGAGCTTGTCCTCTTCCTAGGAGCCTGGTGGGGGCTTTCCCCTCTACCTGCAAAGCTCTCTCTCCTTCCCATGGTTTTACAAGCCTGGGTTAGATGCCTCCTCACATGCCCCCAGAGCACCGTATGCTTTCTCGTGTCATAGTACCACTGAGCTACTGCTCAGGGGCTATTTGTGGGAAGAATACAGTTAGAGGAGCTGAGTACCACATGGGACGTCTGTGCCTTACCCCATGGCCAGATCCTAGTGTGCTGACCTCCACCCCCTCCAACAGGTGATGTACTGCAGTGCAGAATGTCGGCTGGCAGCTGCTGAGCAATACCATCGGGTTCTGTGTCCAGGCTCCTCCCAGGATGACCCCCTGCATCCTCTCAATAAGCTGCAGGAGGCATGGAGGTAGGTGGCATTTTAGCCCTTCTTTCCTTTATCTCTGCCTGCCTGCCTGCCTAGGCTCAGCAGATGCAGCCATCTTTCTTAAGTTACCATTCCCCAGATCTTACCCCCATTCTTAGGATTAAACTGAGGTCACATCACCCAAGCCCCTGCCTTTAGTCTGAACTGCCAGTCCCACCATCCTCAGCATTTTATACACTTCTAGAAAGTCCCATTAAGCCCGTAGGAATGTGAAGTCCTGCCCAAGCCCTTGCCAATGAATTTCTTTGGTTATAAATAGGGTTGGTAGGAAGGATTCTCTGTAGCAGTCAAACTGGACTTCCTTGAACGTAGCTACTCAGAAGGGTATTTCTAGGTTAAACCTTTCTCTTTCTCCCCAGGAGTGTTCACTATCCCCCTGAGACTGCCAGCATCATGTTGATGGCCCGAATGGTGGCCACAGTGAAGCAGGTGAGCCCACCTGACCCTCTTAGGGAAGCTGACTCTGGCCTCATTCTGCCCTTGGCCTCAGTCTCCTCCTCACCTCAAGGCTCTGGCTGGGATGCAGAGTTCCTCCTGCACTCCCCAGAGGACAGTTCCTTACTATGTAAACCTTAGGAGTCGCTGACCATAAATCTGGCAGGGGGAGTGGGGAATCATCTTGCCTCTGGTCTTTGATCTGTGAGAGGACTCCTGGTGCAGGGTAATTTGTGCATTCAATTTGTAGCACAGCTTTTTTAGGATTGTGTCTCTTACATAAAGCGAGAGAAGCTATTCTAACCCCGTCTATTAATATTGTTGCTCCTCAGCCTCACTCTCCAGTTTTTTCCAAGTGTTTTTGAATTAGCTAGTTAGGTCCCAGTTGGGGAGATGATTGGGGGTATACAGGGTGGGGAGGAAGTCCCTAGGCAGGGGAAGGGTCTACCTAGAAGCTCAGGTGTGATGGTATTTCCCTGAAGGCAGGGGCTTTAAAGCATAGGCTGCCCCCCTACATGGCCAGAGTGGCATTGAGGATGTGGGTGTCTGTGAGTCCCTGTTGGCACATGCATGCATGGGCATGTGGGAGTGTGACCCTGAAATACATCTGTTCACTGCAGGCTAAGGACAAGGATCGTTGGATCAGGCTCTTCTCCCAGTTCTGTAATAAAACGGCCAACGAGGAGGAAGAAATTGTCCATAAACTCCTAGGGGACAAGTTCAAGGTTGGTCTTCTCCCATGGTCTACCCCCAAAAGCTTGGGATGTTCTGTGGCTACCTGAGGGGAGCTCCACCTTTGGTCCCTTCCCAGCCACAGGCAGCAGTTAAAGCCTGAGGCCAAAAGTCTAGTCAGAGGACCTATATTCCTGCCAGCTATCGGCTATCGTCTGGAGGCCAGTTCGGGGAGCCTGGAGGGTGGTGGTGAGGACTGATATTCTAGGCCAGGCCTCCTCAGCCCTGCTGGTCTGAGTGCTGGAAAGCAGGGAGGGACTTGGGGTTCGCCACTCTGGACCGAAGCAGGCCATGGACTGCCGTGGCTCTCTGGAGATAAGGACTCTGTGGTCTTCCTCTGCCCAGCAAAAGCTCACTCTCCAGAGCTGGTTTTTTCCCTTCCCCCACATGGACTCCTGGGCCCTGCCTGGGTGCTAATGGGAAACCCTCAGGGATGCAAGTCTTTCCCTGCTTCCCCTAAACCAGGACCAGCTGGAACTTCTGCGGAGACTCTTCACAGACGCCCTTTATGAGAACGCACTCAGCCAGGTGAGAGGGGGAAAGGTGGGACCGATATCCTCCCCAGTCACTCCAGCTCTCCAGGAGCTGAGTCAGCGTCCTCTCCTGGGACAGCTAAGCCAGAGCTGACTTGGCTTTCTGGAGTTGGGATGGGACTGACTCTTGGAAGACTTCCTGAATGGATTGGGATCAGGAAGAAGAGCCAAGTGGCTATAACCTGAATGAGTGCTCATGTCTCTTTCTCCCCCATAGTGGTTCACTCCAGGTGGATTCCGGTCTCTCTTTGCTCTTGTTGGGACCAATGGCCAAGGAATTGGAACCAGGTTAGGAGACACTATTCCAGATATATTGGACTTGTCCCTCAGGGCTTAGGTGGGAGATTGACTGAGGAGGGTAGCCACAGCTCTTTCAAGATTAGGATGGGGCAGGATGTGACTTTGTGTCGAGTGCTGGACTGCACCCAGTGATGGGGATCAGAAAGACTGAGGTGGGAGAGTCTGCTCTTGGGAGCCTTGGTCTGTTGGGGAAGACCCTGGAGAAAGAAATGGGTTTAACTTGCCTGGAGGTGGAGAGCCCTGTGAGCTGGGCATCCTCCTCTCCAACTACGGCTGCCTGGGACCCCCAGTTCCCTGAGCCAGTGGGTCCATGCCTGTGACGCCCTGGAGCTGAAGCCTCAGGACCGCGAGCAGCTGGATGCCTTCATCGACCAGTTGTACAAGGACATCGAGGCAGGTTGGTGAGATGGAGACACCCCTCTTCCCACCCGCAGTGAGATGGTGGACACAGTCTTCCCCCAGTGCCCCAGTGAATGGTGGGGGACATAATCCTTGTGTGCCTGTGGGAAGCTTTGGATCTGTCCACGGGACACACAGATGAGAAATGGCTCTGAGATCCATGCTTCAGAGGCTGGGGGTGGGGGTGGGGGAGTGCTGAACAAATGGGGTGCTATCGCTTATAGAAAAGCAAGGCTTGTGCCTCAGAGGTGTAAGTTCAGGTGAAGCAGTATGGATCAGGTGAAGCGGTAGGACAGTGAGCCATTGCCTTTCCTTGTAAACCTAGTTTCCTTTCCCTGTAAAATGGGTAGAATAACATCTGCGTATTACTGTTTTACAGCAACTGGCGAGTTTCTAAACTGTGAAGGATCAGGCCTCTTTGTGCTTCAGAGCTGCTGTGAGTCTGACATGGAGGAGGGGTGGCCTCACAGTCACAGTTCATCCCTTTTGGTTGGCCCCTTCTAGGCTGGTGAGGTTGAGTCTGGTGAGGTTGAGTCTGGGAGTAAGGTTAGGTCAGAGCTTCCTTGGGGATTCCTCTGGGCCTTTTGGTCCATCAGTTTTTCATTCACTCATTTAAGGACTGCTTGTGCCTTAATATATGTTTATATGTAAAACCTTCCAGTGGGCCTGGTCCTGTGCTCTGGCATGATCACAGAGCTCTGAATCTCCCAAAGGAAGCGTGGGCCGTGCACCACACTGCCCTGTGAGATTTGGCAGCGGAGTGTAGTGAGAGCCTGGGAGGCCCTCAGGATCCTGGGAGGAGGGAGCTCAGGCTAGCAGGCAGTCTTCTTACCACTGGATGGGGAGGGTAGTCAGCTCAGACTATTGTCTGTTCTAGATCCAGCCTTCCGTTTCTTGGCGTCCTCACTTCAAACCCCTCCCCCCAGGCTCCAGGACCACTCTGCCCTCCCAAAATAGGCTCCCAGAGGCCCTGGCTCAGCTGTTACCAGACGTGCAATAGCAGACAGGACTGCGTTAGTGGTCTGGCATGTGGGCCACTGTCCCTCCCTTTACGACACACTGGGAACACAACTGAAAATCAGGGTGACCGGTGAGGAGAACAGGGACAGTCATGATGGTGGGAGAGGGAGTGATGTGGACCTGCATTTGTGCCTGTGCTCTGTGCTCTTCAGGAACGAGCAAGGGCAGGAAATTGAGTTCCAGGACCTGTGCAGCCCTAGCAGGGATCAGAGAACAGGAAGGAGGGGACCCAGTGCTCTGCAGAGTTGAGGCTGTTATTGTTGTTATTAGTCAGGAATCCTCATTACCTGCCTCTCATGACCCAGGCAACCACAGCTGTGTCCCCAATGCAGAGACCTCCTTCCCAGAAAACAACTTCCTTTTGCATGTCACCGCCCTGGAGGATATTAAGCCAGGAGAGGTGAGGGGGCTGGGAGCCGGGGTGGGGTGGGGGGGAGTGGGCCTTGCAAAGTCTTTCCAAGGATTGGAGGCAGCAGTGGCTACAGCCCCAAGTTCAGGCTGTTGAGTTGAATCCCAGGCCCCAGGGTGTGAGTCTTTTGTCCATGGGTATGCTCTAACCCCACTCTACTTCTTCAAAAAATAACTTCAGAAAGCCTCAGAGCAGTGTTTGAGAGACGGCTGTATGCCAGGTCCTTGTCCTTAGCCACCTTTTGATCGACAAATCTGAAGCTTCTAAGAAAGCAGGAGATGGCTTGGGCTGTGGGGTGCTTTTGTGGGTTTGAGGTCCTGGCTGTTAGTGCAGTGCACAGGGCCTGGTTGAATTTTCTTCCAGGGCAGGTAGCATTGCGCCAAGATAACCTCTGAACCCAGCCACAGACCTTGGCCCTTGACTGCTTTTGACCATGGCCTGAGGCTAACTGCAGTCCCCTCTGTCTCAGATGCTGGCTGTTAGAGCCTCACAGTGGCCTGTTTGCTGAGGGCCTGGGAATGGATCTGGGCAGCCCACTCCTTCGCCGAAGGGCAACTCAGGCCCCTGACGATGGGGCAGTGGTTGGGGAGGCCCTAATCCCATTAAATAGAGCACAGACGTAGGATCCCACTTCTCCTCTGCCCTCCAGGAAATCTGTATCAGCTACTTAGACTGCTGCCAGCGGGAGCGCAGCCGCCACAGCCGCCACAAGATTCTCAGGTGCCAGCTGGGGACGTGTTGGGCACCTGGGCTCTGGGGTCCTCCAACCTGGTGGCTGCCTGACTTCACCCTCACCACTACCCCCTGCAGGGAGAACTATCTGTTTGTCTGTTCCTGCCCCAAATGCCTGGCAGAGGCTGATGAACCTAACGTGACCTCGGAGGAGGAGGACGACGAGGAAGAGGAAGGAGAGCCGGAAGATGCAGAGCTGGGGGATGAGATGACTGATGTGTGATGTCACCCTGCCTGGAAGGGGCCCTACCCCAGACGCTGCCAGAAAAGGGGGCCTTTCCTCAGAGAAGAGGCTTGGAAGGAGCTCCCCACTCCCATTGCCTGCATCCCCCCATTCCAGCTCTGTGTCTGCTGGAGGGTAGGACAAAGGCTGGACCCTAGGCCTCCCACCCCCCACCAGACATCGTGCCCTGGACAGTGCTGCTGAGCGGCTCAGGCTCTGTACTATCACTGAGCCTCTCAGAACTGGCCTCCCCCCTGAAGGACTCCACTTTAAAGTGTGAGCAGCTGGAGCCAAGGTCAGGGCCTAAGTGTTTCTTCCCCTTGGCCCCATGGCCACGCTTACCCATCCACCTGAGGCTTCACCCCTCTCAACTTGCTATGGAGGGGTAACAAAGTGGCGATTTGAGAACAGCCTTACTTCATTGAAGAAGAAAGGAGTGAGATGTCTTCACCTTCTTCCCCACCTCCCACCGTTGCCGCTGATAAGGCAACTGCCTGACCGCTAGCACAGCTGAGAGGCAGGATGGAAGAACGGGGCCTCCAGACACCTTCTGTAAGGCTCTCTGCTGGGGAACTGAACCAGGGGGATAACTTCCCTCTTCCCAGCTTCCTACTCCTGCCATTTGGACATCTGGAGGAGTAGAGTTAACCCCTTCCCCAAACTCCAGAATCTGTACCTTGTGCCTTGCCTCTCAGGCCCTGGCACAGTGGCTGGCCCCATGGGTATGGAAGAGGCCTCTGCCTCCCTCAGGAGGGGCATGTGGGGGATCATCACCCCTTCCTAACACCTTCCCATTGAGGACTAGCAGCATGGTTGAGACCTGGGGGTGACAGGCCTGTGCTCCTTAATTTAGGATGCTCGAATCTTCCCTGGGACCAGTTGAACATGGGTCAGTGAGGGGCTCTCCTGGCCTCAGTCTCCATCTTTAGGGTCTCTGCAGAGGAACATTGAAGTCTTCCAGAAACCTAGAGGAGCTGGGCTAGATACACGGAGATTAGCCCTGACAGTGTCCCCCTGCCCCCAGATTAGCACTACGACTCACTCGGGTTGGGTGCTGTGGGACTTATGTGGGACATCTCTGCAGTTCCTTTCTGCTTACCTTCCCTGAGAGGCCTGCCACATCAGCCTGCTGAGGGATCCCAGGAAGCCAGGTGCCTGCTCCACAGGCCCTTTCCTGGATCATGAGTCAGGTGGAGCCCGCCTGTCAGCCTGTTGGGTTCTTACTCCTTCACAGCAGGCAGCATCCGTCCCACCCCTGCCTGCCCACTGTTCTCAATAAAATGTGAGTGGTAACAGGCCTCTGCAGGATTGCTTGGTGGAGGATGACTTGACAAGCTGCTGGGGTGTGCAGCAGTGACATAGGTGGTGCAAAGGCGTGTAGGGTAGACCAGGGACTGGCAGGAGGTGGAGCTCAGCTCCGCAGTTGGGGCTTATCTCTGGTCTCATCTACTCTGCTGTACTAATGTTTCTAAAGCCCCAGAGCAAGTGTGGACCCCCAGCAACAGGCAGCAAGATGAGTCTTCTCCTTAGGGGACTAAAATATGGCTCCTGAGATCTTAAGCAAGAGGCTGTGTTGGGTTCCAAGATTAGCACTGGTCCTAAAGGACCTTAGGCAAGTCATTTATCCGCTCTGGACCTGTGTCCTCTCAACACAAGAGGATGGGACCAGATGAATGAGTTTGAAGACCCCTCCCTCCCTGTGTGCTGTGAATTGGACACAGTTACAACCCTGATGAGAGGCTTTATTGCTAAAAAGTCAGTGAGGGTTTATGAAGTCCTCAAACACCAGCTCCTTAACTACTCCAGATACTGCTGTGGAGGTCACTGAGGAGACCCTGGTTGGGGGAGGCTGGAGCCAGGTGGGATGTGACAGGTCACAGATGGCTCTCAGGCCATCTGCCTTTAGCCCCTTTTGTTCCAGATTCTAGCCAAGAAGCCCTGGGGCCTGGCTCTTGCCTCTTCCCAAAGCATGAGACACCCTTGGGGGCCCCGGGGAAATGAAAGCAGAGGCGTGGCTTCCCTTAGACTAGCCTAAGCCCACACCTACTTCCTCTATGTGGCTCCACCTGTCCCCAAATGCTATCCCCCAAGTCCCAAACAGCAGAATTCCTGAATTTTCCCCTTCCCAGCCCAGAGTTACTTATGGCTAGAAGGTGGGACCAACTCTTCTACCAGAAGGTCCAGGGCGGTTGCAGCAGCTCAAAGGTGGGGATGCTGGTGACATTGACTGGGATGGAAATGATGGCCCATGGCAGCCCATGCTGTTCCAGGGAACGGCGGATCATGTAGCTGGGAGGGCATGAAGAGAAGTGATGGTCACTTTCTCAGCACCCCGTCATGCCCCACTATCCCAATCACTCTGGGAGTTACCGAGCCCAAGGACTTTTTGGGCCCTCCAATGGGCACCCCAAGATGAGGCTTATGGGAAGGGATTGGTGATTGCCCTTCCCATCCCCAAATCATGGCACCAGCCTGGTGCTGACGTGGCCAGAGACAAGGAGCCCTCACCCATCTCGGCCGAGCAGGAAGAGGGCAGGGATGTCAGCTGTGCGCTGGGTACTGTCCTGGATCATCTCCACGTAGAAGCTGTCATTGTCAACTGCGTTGTCAGAGATGATCACCGCCCGCCCACCATGCTCCTGTACCACCCGGGTCTTGGAGAGGAAGGAGCAGCCCCTGGAAGAGGTGATGATGAGACCAAAAGAAAGGCAGGGTCCTAGCTGGCCCTCCGTCAGGCTGTCACCCTAGGAGGATGAAAGGACTACGGATAATTGTTAATAAAGTCTCATAAGTGGCCAAAAGGCATGGATAATCTTATGACATTTCTTAAAGACCCTTAAAAGGATGAATTATTTAAAAATTTCAAAGCATCACCACCACCACCACCACCGATCTCAGAATCTACCCTATGCCTGCTCTCCCCTTGTGCCGCTCCTCACCCCCTCTCCACCAGAGCGATCTGGTCCTGGATGAAGAAACCGTTGCTGAGTTCTCCACAGGCCTCTGAAGGTTCCGCCGGGACAAGGTGAATCTGCTCATACCTTGTGTGCTGAAAGACATTTAGGTTAAGAGTATGAGGAGATGGACCTGCTTTAGGACCAGCTGATAGTCCCATCCTATTAGCTCCTCATAAGGTGTGAAGGAAAGGTGTGGAGTGATTTCTGTGTGCTGGGCACTCCATTCTCACAAAGGCTTATCTACTTGTCCTACTCCACCCTGCCTTTCCAGACAGGGCAGTTGGTATGGACCCAGAAAGGGGAAGTAACTTGCCTTACGTTACATGATTCAGAGGTAGAACTAGCAAGGCTCTTAGTTTTTCACCAGTTTATGTTCCCAAAGACAGCTGGTCCCTCCATCGTGCCCAGGTCTGTATTATGCCCAGGAAAGTAGTGGGAAGCCCTTCTTTCCTACACTCCAGCCCCTGGGAGGCAGAACTGGATTCTGCTCCCTTCCCTGCCCCAACACTCAGGTTATTGGTTAAAGGTATGAGAGAGGCACCTCAGCTTAGTGAGGGAAAGATGGAGACAGGATCAGAGATGAGGGGCCTTCCCTAAACTTACAAAGATACCACCAAAGTCCTTTGCAGGTGTAGCTGTGAAAATGTATCGAATGTCCCCAGGACTCAGCACTTGGAAGTACAAATAATCATGGATGCGTAAGCCTGAAAAATAAAGAGTACAAGTGAGAAGCCTCCATGGACCCTGTGTCTTCAAGTGGGCTGGTTATAGTCTGCACCCAGGGACCCAGCTTCAGCCAAGTGGGTCCTCCAGGTGGGTGGGAGAGATGGTCCCTGCCCTGGGGAGGGTAAAGTTGATGCAGACAGTTAGTAACCCCTGAGATTTATAGCTGTTGCTGCTTACACAAGTGAGCCAGGAAGACTGAGAGCTCGAGTGTTATCTCTCAGAGGATTAAGCCATCTTTGCTTTGAAGTGGACCTGAGAATATCAAGGTGGAGATGTGGTAGTCTGAGTACAAAACAATTCTCACTAAAACTTAAAAGTTAACTCTGGCCCCACTGCCATCGTCCTAGTTCACCACTATCATTTCTTGTCCTGACTGGTCTGTCTTCCTCCATTCTTGCTCCCTAAGATCCATTCCCCAAACAACAGCCAAGGATCTTCTTAAAACATCTTAAAGCAAATATGACCATGTCACCACTCCCATGGCTGCAATACCCTTCAATGACTTTCCTGTGGACTTAAAATCTAAACTTTTAATTATAGCCTGGGAGGCCCTGCTGTATCTGGCCCTTGGCTGCTACTCCAATCTCATCTTCTCCTTCCTCTGTTCAAGCTACACTGACCTCCTTTCAGTTTCTTCACTTCTCTGAGTCTTCTGGGAAGCTGTTCCCTTTCTCTGGATGGCTTCTTACCCTCACCCCACCCACCTCTACCTTCTTTACCTGGCTCTCTCCTCCTACTCATCTGGGTCATAGCTTAAATGTCACTTTCTCAGAGAAGCCTGCGCTATGACTGCCCTCCCTTTATGCCCATTCAAAATGTATTTTTGGGGGGCCAGCCGAGTGGCTCAGTTGGTTAAGAGTTGGCTTGGGAGCGCAAGCTCTGAGCAGCAGGGCCTCTGGTTCGGTTCCCACATGGGCCAGTGACACTGCAGCCTGTACAGCTAAGATGGTGAACAACAGCTTGACCTGGAACTGGGCTGCTGTGAGTTGCCAGCAATGGCGTAGGCTGCAGTGGGGCTGCAGTGGGCTGCCGTGATCTACCATGAGTGGCTGGCAGCCAGCGTGAGTGGCCGGCAGCCTGCAAGAGCTGCCTTGAGCCGTCATGAGTGGCCGTCCCATGGCCAGCGGCTGACTGACTGCCTCACCTGGGAAGAGCGCAATGATCATAATACCAACATGGGCCAGTGAAGCCACATCCTTCACAACTAGACTGAAGAACCAAAGGACAGCAACTTGTCTGTTCCCCTCCCCAATTCCCCAATAAAATCTTTTTTAAAAAATGTATTTTTTCTCCATTGACACTTGCAACATAATCTGTAATTATACAGTATTCATAATTTTTTGTTTACTGTCTGTCTTCTCCACCAGGGCAAGGATGATTTTGCAGCTTCATTCAATGCTGTATGCACATTACCTAACATAGTGGCTAGAATATAGCGGGGGCGCAATTAAGGTTGTTGAATGAATAACAACTATTTCCAGCTCCACCGCACTGAAGAAGAGAATTGCCAGGACCAGATTTTTCTGGGGTGTGGGAGCTTCTCTTCAGCACCAAAGTGTAATGTTTCATCCAGACTCGAATCCCTGATTTCTTGAGCCCAGAGAGATTGAAGAATGTGGAAGGGTGGAAGTTGCTGCCACCAGTCCATTAGTCAATCAACAAACCATAAAACCACTACTGTGTGTCAGGGTTGGGACTGATTGTGGCTGTAGTTGTCTTGTTTACTGCCCAAACCATGCCCAAAAGGTAGAGCTCAACTGCCTTGGCACTGGGCTATACAGCCTTTTATCTTGGCGGTAAGAACGTCCCATTAGATACAAATACACCCCCAGGAAGCCTTCCTGGATTAGCACTAAACTCCCCCTCCTCCTCACACACCTTTGCCTGGCCTTTGCATCTGCCGATCTGTGAAAATTAAGCGTGGTATACGTATGTGTGTGGCTATATATGTTTCTGTGATCGTGTAGTGTGGGAGCCCACGTGCAGGAATGTGTGTTTCCGTAAATTTATGTGAGTGCTCACATACATATTTCCAGTTTGTATATCTCTACTTGTCCCTTGTTCCTCCTTGGTCGCTCCCTCAGCCACCTGGTAGGCGTTAGTAAGGGTAGGGGAGAGTCTTGCTTCGACGTGCAGAGATGAGGACTCAGAGCCAGGCCTCAGGCTGCGCCCCGCTCAAGTCCCTGAGGACCAGCACCCACCCACTCCAGCCGCCCATCCCCAGACCTGCCATGCCCCGAACTCGCGGGGTCCCCAAGGTGACCCGTAGCCCCCGCCGGAGCCATGCGCAAGCCTGATGGCCCGCCCCGCCCTGCAGCACAGCCCCGCTCGTTGCCACTCACCGTGGGCCGCGACGCACGCGGGGAGCCAGAGCACGAGACACCACCAGCCCGCGGCGCCGAGGACCATCTCCAGGGCCCGGCCGGGCGCCGCACTTCCTCCACCCGCCTAGTCGTGCGTTGCTCCCCGGACTTCAGCCTGACAGCTGCTCCGGCCTCCCGCCCCCAGACCCGATCTCACCGCTGGTTGGCAGACGGGAACGAGGCCCACGCTGATTGGCTCCGATGCCTGCTCGTGTAGCCACATTTTCCGCCTCTGCGCCTTAGCCCACTTC